TTTATCGCTATCGGTTAAGCCTTTCCGAAAATTAGCCCGATCAAACAGACAGACAAACAGACAAACAAAAATTTTAAAAATGGATATTTATTTATATCTTAATAGTATACAAATAAGACTTATAAGAGTATAAGCCAGTTATTTCAATTATACAGACGGATTACTTTATTTCAATTTTTTTATACACTATAGAAAAAAATGCTTGTAATAGTGTTGACGCTACAGTAATAGGTACTCCCTATAATCACTGGAATGCTCGAACTAAGCTATAAACTCAGACCAACATAGAAAGATAAACGGAGCGCTGTGCAAATTTCAAGTGATGCCCCAACCTTGCTTATCTTCTTGATATTGGTGATGTGTACTCACGCACACAACTTTATTCTTTCTTTCTTTATCAGTGAAAGTTCTCTGCTAGACGCACACATATGCACCTGAAACTATGTTGTTGGTTGCAATTAAATTTAGATGCAAACGTACGTGTGTGTTCTTATAATACACGTAAGTTGAGCAGCATGCTTTTGGCTTGGTTTTTGCATCATTTCAAATGTACGAAGTGCTCGGTATTTCTTTCTTTGTTGGTGTGAGGCTATAAAATTATCGTAATGGGAGTGGTTTAACACAGTAGAAATTTCAGTTTCCCGGTCAGTATCCTTAATCATTACAAAGGACCTATTTATCAAAAAGTTGACACTATATATAGTAGCAAATAGCAGGGGTGCCTGCGATTTGCTACTATCTCACTATACTCACCTCCGCAGCTTTGGCTTATATCATCGAGATCTATGCAAATCCGTAGAAGAATAGAATAGAATAGAATAGAATGATTTTTATTCAATATTGACTATTACATAATACTAATTGAACTTCATTTTTTTATTTACCACTGGTTCGGAAAAAACCTCTGTCCTGGGAAGAACCAGCAAGAAACCCAGCGGGACATTTTTTTAAACATATTTTCACTTAACAATAATTTTGTTTATACAATTTTAAATGAATTTTCATAGAACCAGCATGGTGGCGATAACTTTATTCCCAGGGATTATTTTCATTCATGAATTCCTTGATATTATAATAACCTTTTTTGTACAATTTTTCTTTAATAAAACTTTTAAACTTGTTTATTGACAAACTTTGAACATGTTCTGGGATTTTGTTGTAAAAGCGTATATGTACATTGCCCCATAAATGAATTACTAATTCTGTGGAGTCTAGTAACTGGCATTACAAGCTTATGTTTGTTCCTAGTGTTTGGGTATGAACATCCTTATTCTTATTAAAGATATTTATGTTTTTATGTACATACATTATATTTTCATAAATATATTGCGATGCCCTAGTTAATATGTTTATTTCTTTAATTTTTTCTCTGAGGGACTCTTTACAATTTAGATTACAAATCGCCCGTACGGCTCTCTTTTGCAAAACAAATATAGCTTCAATATCAGTCGCATTACCCCATAGCAAAATTCCATAAGACATTACGCTATAAAAGTAACTAAAATACACTAACCTAGCTGTCTTAACATCTGTGAGACTTCTAATCTTTCTTACAGCATATGCTGCCGAACTAAGTCTGCATGCTAATATAGATATATGGGGGCCCCATTGAAGTTTCGTATCAATAGTAATACCAAGAAAAACAATGGTATCCACAGGAATCAACTCCTCCCCATTTAAGAGCACATTGGTTTTCGAATGTTTTACATTAGGTATTGTAAATTTAATACATTTTGTCTAATTGCCGTTTAAGAGCAAATTGTTGGCGTTAAACCAATGTACTAATTTTGATAGAGCATTATTTACATCGTGATAATTAATTTACTGCCGTTTGAGTTTAAAAATTAAACAGGTATCATCAGCAAATAATACTATATCGTGATTGTCCCCTACAAGATAAGGTAAGTCATTAATATAGATTAAGAACAGGAATGGGCCAAGAATCGAGCCCTGAGGAACGCACATTGATACGACCGATCCGGAGGAACCTTTACCATTGATTACAACTTTTTGAGTTCTGTTACTTAAATATGAAGTAATAAGTTTAAGCGTCAAATTTTTTACACCTTAATGTTGTAGTTTCCTGATTAATGTATCATGATGGACACAATCGAAAGCCTTGGAAAGGTCACAGAAAATACCTAAGGCATCTTGTGAATTCTCCCAGGCATTAAAAATATATTTCATAAGCTCAACACCGGCGTCAGACGTCGAACTTGTATTAAAAAAATCAACAATTGATCCAAAATTATTTTTTCAAATTTTTACTGAGAGTTGGTAGTACAGAAATAGATTTATAATTAGCGGGGTCCAATACTACTAGATTTAAATAAAGGTATTACTTTACTATACTTCATTAAATTAGGAAACACACCAGAATCGATACAAGTATTAAAAATAATAGCAAGATGAGGTGCAATTAAATCTAGTATGGACGCAATCACTGTAACGGAAATCCCCCACAAATCTGCGGTTTTCTTTACATCAATGGTTTTGAAGTATTTTACAATATTATGCGGTAATACTTTTTGAAATCTAATTTTTTTTAATATTCTGTTTAAGTAATGACTCGGCGAAAGTTGGAGAAGTATTCAATGACTCTGTTGTCAAGATAGGAACATCAGTGAAATATTTCTCAAACACCGCTGCAACTTCTTGATTTGATTTAGAAGTCAATTCATTGTTAATTTTTAATTGATAGTTTGAGTTACGAGGTTACTCTTTACCGGTTTCGCTGTTAATTATTCTCTACGTCATTTTAATTTTATTCTTAGCCGTCTTAATTTTGTTACTAATATGTAATGATTTGGCTGTGGAGCAAACTCTTTTAAACATTTTAGAATAATTTTTTACATATTCTTTAAAAGCATCGGAAAGATTATACGATCTTTCACGGTGAAGGTCATATAACCTTCGTCTGCTTTTATGAATTCCTACTGTCGCCCACTCATTAAACGCCTTACGAATGTTTCTGGAGAATATTTAGTACCGTAATAGGAACCGTAGATGCCCCAAGAAGTTTAAAATTTTTATCGACCAAAAATTGTTTTCGAGTTTAAAGTACTAAAGAGTACATGATTGACAATAACTTGTGGGAATGTGGTGATCACAACCATGCTCTTTTTATTATTAATATTACATTTAATATATTATATTATATTTTAAATATTATGTTGTAATTTTTTTTAAAGTGCGCTGGGTTTCTTACATTATACAAATGACTTAAGAAGAAGAAGATTTATTTGCTTTGAAAAAGGGGCACATTTAGTTATAAAGTGTAGTTCAGCTTTTTCAGCCATCTATAATAGCATGCAAATACATTTTTTATAATTAAATTTATTATATTACAATATAAAAGTCAATTAAAATATTTATCGTCATGTCATTGTTTACAAGTTAGCAATACCAATACATACAAATTTAAATATAATTAAGATTAAAATTTAATTAAAAATATATAACTACTGTTGAGTCACATCATGTCAAATTTAGGTAGTTATTCACATTATAAAAACAATGTTCATTTAGCCATCTGTAAAAGGCGCCTTTAATTCTATTAAGGGGTAAGTATTTTATATTTTGGGGTATTTTATTAAATATGAGAATACACATTCAGTATCAGTTTTTTTTTAAACTCTTGGGTATAATTTCCACAGCAAGTTTATTGCCATTTTTGGTATTTCGTGAATAAATCTCTTTCGCTTGTGTGAAATGATTTCTTTCGATAAATATTCTTGTAATCTTACTTAGATTCTATCTATAGAGATCTAAGTATATTGAATAAAATGATTCTATTCCATTCTACATATATGCCTATGACATTCGCTGACAATGTCATATATAGTAATTATAGTTGAAAGTTAATTATCCACAATATATATATGTTCACTTATAGCGGCGTTGCCGTCGCGCCACAAGCAAAGCGTACAGGGGTAAAACGCATCTGCATTTTGATTCTTAATTGAAGATAGATGGCTATGAGCCAAAGCATTCACTTGCCTCAATCGAGTTATATTTCGATACAGTTTATGAGATTTTAATACTAAAATCAACACAATCTGTGAAAATATGTTGAATACTTGATCTCCATTCCTTAGAACCTGAACCTATTGTTGTGTACTATTTCTTGATAATAGGAAAGAGTTGGTATGAACATTTACGCATCTCCAGCCATGGAGGGAGGGTTATTAACTTTTAATTAGTTACTTTGCGTAATTGAGTATTTAATTATTAAGTATTGTTTTGCTATACGATGTCTTAAAATAAAGAAATAAATTATTATTGCGTGCTTTGTGGCATTCCATGGGGTAGGCTTTTGTTCAGCACTGGACATGATGATGATAATTCTTCCAGCGCAACGCAGCCTCACAGTATAGCTTTTTTGTATAGGATAGGGTGACAAACGAGCACACAGTCCACCTGATGGTAAGTGGTTACTGTGACCCATAGACATCTACATCTATCCTCAATAAAGACTCAAGATGCAGATGCGGTCTAATCCGTGAGGACTAAGATGGAATGCCTCTTTCCAGTAAAAAGGGTCTCACTCACCATACGAAACACAGCAGCGTTAAGCTGCTATTTTACGCTGGTTTTCTGTGAGAGCGTGGTCCTTCCCCGGTCGAGCCGACCCATTCGTGCTACAATTATACTACTAATATAGCTGCAGCATGACTCTACCACGTATAAAATAGCTTATACAGTCTAACGCAGATGGAATAATTAAACTCGTTATTAACTTCAGTTAGGAGTACGTTACACTTTGATATACAACGACAGCCGAGCAAATGCAACGAATAGTGTTTACGACCACGAATTCATATTTTCTTCTTCGATGAATTGAAATAAGACTGCACCTTCTGAATGCCTAAGTTATCAACTATCCAGAAGCTGATGTTGGATTGTACCCGAAATATCGAACATTTAGGATATACAATTAAAGTAGACGATTACATTCTACATATTACACTAATGTCAAAAAGAACCAACATATCACTTACCGAAAAGGCACCTGCTCAGCAACAAAAACATAGTTGAAGGAGTACATGGCAGAGAGCAGGCTGGGCAGGCAGAGTAGTGTCAGCACGTATCGCTGGTAGGGGCCAAAGGGGCCGAGCTGGCACAACGCTGCCTCCAGCGCCTCCCCACCACCCACCTGTCCATCGACTCGATTGCTCTCCGGTACAGTCGAACTTACACCCAAACTACTTGTGGGAAATGTAGTATTGGTTGTTACTGTGCTAGCCCTAACACTCTCGCCCATGTTCGCTTCATCTGTCACTGCTTTACTTTCTGTTTTCACTTCACCCGTATTTCGTGGGTAAACAGAACGCGTTTCAGGCGGTGCGTGTCCCTTCATATCACAACCGGCACTGCCTCGATGTGTGACGAAAAATTGAATTCGTTTTATCAGTGTTGGCTAGCGTGTCAACACTGATAACGTTTCATTGCTTAAAAGAATATTACTTTTCTGCAATAAAATTGATACAACCGAAATTGTGAAGTAATTTTTAAAAAATATTTTTGTGTCGCACTCGGTAGTGGCGGTGTAAGATTATCCACTAACCCATATCGCCCCAAGAGTTGCGTAAGAGGCGACAGAGGGAAAAGAACCAGAAAATGAGCAGCAGAGTTTTCTTAACAACAATAGGAAATAAAAAAATGCGATTGTCAACACCTCTGTCAAACGTGACAACTATGTCAAATATTTTTATGAGGCAATCCCTCTTATGATACATCATCATATCCACACTATCTGGATGCTTGGCGATCCACCACTGTTCGTTTCACTAGGAGTTTCTTTCCTCGTACGAGCCCTCTGTGGAATCGTTTACCATCAGCGATTTTTTCAGACCGATACGACTAAGGAACCTTCAAGAAAAGAGCTTACACCTTTCTAAAAGCCCGGCAACGCACCTGCAATTCCCCTGATGTTGCAGTTGTTCATGGGCGTCGGTAGTCACTTACCATCAGGTGAGCCGCACACTCATTTGTATATAAGTGAATAGGGAACTCTATTAAAGTTTAATCAGTTAATCATTTTTGGTATTTCGCGCAAAGATCGAGAAATATTTACCCAGAACCAAACACAATTCTAAATTTTTATTTTTAGATCTGATCTCTTTTGAAGTTCTAAATTTCGAACCTCGAACGAAAAGAAAACTTAGTGCGCCAGGCACCCAAGGCTTTCTGCACTCATTATTTGATAGCCAGAGAAATAAACTTGTTTTGTTGTCACCTGAGTGAATTCACAAAGCTAGCATAAGGGTGACAAACGAGCACACAGTCCACCTGATGGTAAGTGGTTGCTGTGGCCCATAGACATCTACATCTATCATCGTTTGTGAATTAAAATGCAGATGCGTTGTCAGCCGTGAGGACTAAGATAGAATGCCCCTGTTCCAGTAGAAAGGGTCTTCGGTTCTCTACACTCACCATACGAAACATAGCAGCATTAAGCTGCTATTTTACGCTGGTATTCTGTGAGAGCGTGGTTCTACCCCGGTCGAGCCGACCTATTCGTGCTACAACTATACTATTAATATAACTGCAGCATGGCTCTACCACGTAAAAAATGTGTTATGTACCTAATTTAAAAAGAAATAATGCCTGTAATATAGTTGTAAAAATAATGATACGAACATTAATGAATAGATACATTTATGCGCATAGAAAACAAATATGAATGCTATGCCAAATTTTACAAGAAAGTATACTAAATTTATAATTGAATTATATGACAAAGATGAATGAAATTATCAACAACTAATCTCCAGGTGAGCTAGTTACGATTCTCGAGTTTAGATCGTTTCCATCTGACGGAGATATCACACTGATACGGGATCATTTTCTCGTGATAACGCTTTCAAAACCGCACAAACGAGTTGCCTCGCACTATGTGCGAGTAGCTCTGAACCACTACTGCCTGGGACTGGCTCGGGCCGTACGAACCGAACTCCGACCGATGCTAAGTTACAAATTTGGGGATAATAGCTCATGTGTACATAATGATTATTATATATAAATTGAGTATATTATAATAATAAATTAAATTACCCTCACTGTCTCAGTATCGGTGTTATAATATTAACCAACTCATTTCGAAGGTATCGTTAAAGATGACTAACGTAATTGCCTCGATGGTCTAGTGGGTCTATACACGACTGCTAATCTTGAAGTTTCGAATTCGAATCCCGGATCAGGCCAAATTCTATTGGATTTTTCTGTAAGAAATTCCCAGTAGCAGCCTGGTGCTACAAAAAATTTTATTGAATTCGAATTTCGAATTGTTCATGAAAACAAAACTGTATACTTTTTAGAATTTTACTCATTTGTAAATATGGAGTGGACGCTTAAAGAAGACCGTGTTGCAGTTATTGCGTTGCATCGTTGCGGTTACGCGCCAATTCAAATTTTTCACATACTGAAAAATTTGAATATAACCAAAAGATTCGTTTATCGTACCATCAAACGATACAATGAAGACTCTAGTGTAGATGACAGGTCAAGAAGTGGTCGCCCTCGGTCTGTTAGGACTCCAACAGTGATAAAAGCTGTGAAGGCGCGAATTCAAAGAAATCCCAAACGTAAGCAGAAACTGTTGGCCCTTCAGATGGGGTTAAGCAGAACCACGGTGAAAAGGGTGTTAAATGAAGACTTAGGCCTTCGGGCATATCGAAGAAAAACAGGACATCGTTTGAATGCTCGTCTAATGGACCTGAGACTGAAGAGATGCCGCGCTTTGTTGAAGCGGTACGCGGGAAAAGAATATCGGGAAATTCTTTTTTCGGATGAAAAAGTTTTTACCGTAGAAGAGAGCTACAACAAACAAAATGATAAGGTGTACGCACACAGTAGTATAGAAGAGAGCAACCGTATTCCGCGTGTCCAACGAGGTCATTTTCCATCCTCGCTCATGATATGGTTGGGAGTTTCTTATTGGGGCTTAACAGAGGTAAATTTTTGTGAGAAAGGTGTAAAAACGAATGCAGTTGTGTATCAAAATACAGTCCTGACAAACCTTGTGGAACCTGTTTCTCATACCATGTTTAATAACAGGCACTGGGTATTCCAACAAGATTCGGCGCTAGCTCATAGAGCGAAGAGCACACAAGACTGGCTGGCGGCGCGTGAAATCGACTTCATCCGGCACGAAGACTGGCCCTCCTCCAGTCCAGATTTGAATCCGTTAGATTACAAGATATGGCAACACTTGGAGGAAAAGGCGTGCTCAAAGCCTCATCCCAATTTGGAGTCACTCAAGGCATCCTTGATTAAGGCAGCCGCCGATATTGACATGGACCTCGTTCGTGCTGCGATAGACGACTGGCCGCGCAGATTGAAGGCCTGTATTCAAAATCACGGAGGTCATTTTGAATAAACTTTAGTGTCATAAGAATCTATGTTTTGTTAAGTTCATTTTGATATATAAATGGTTACGTAATGAATTAACTTGTTTCAATTACTTTATATTAAACATGTGACAGAATTTATGACCTATATATATATATATATATATATATATATATATATATATATATATATATATATATATATATATATATATATATATATATATATATATATATGTATATGTATATATATATTATATTTATTATTGTACGATTTTTCTTTTGTGCATAAAAGTTTAAATAAATAAATAAAAATAAATAAATAATAGGTCAATGCAGTTCAATAATATAATGTTTGAAACATATAAATTCAATTGAATAATTTTTTAATTGTTTTAAGGATTTTATCGCATTACTATGTTATGTGCTGTAAAGCACCCGAAACGTCGGGAATTAAAATAATAAATTAAACGCGAGTCCCGAGTAAAAGTCCGTAAAAATTAGTTTTATTCAATGTGTAGTGTTCGCGTAAATATAAGAAATCATTATATAATTATTTCTTATATTTCATAGATCCAATGTCATCAATTAAGGGATATGTCCTAATGTCAAACTGTCAAAGTTTATCATTAAGGAATTCATCTATTGGTCCGAGAGCTCATGACGCATTTTTCATGAAGTGTTTGATGCATCATGAAACTTTGTTTAAAGGTATCAGTCGACTCAATAAGCAGGTATATGACTGTCTGCCTGGCCTACCTGGGTACACCTGGTACTGCGCATACAGTTAAGTCGAAAAAAAATTTGCCCAAAAAAAGTGTTTGATTCAAATAATAATAATGACTATCCGTTAGCTAAGTTTATAAACAATTAAGAAAAAAAATGGCAGACACTTCTGAAGGGGTTTACATAGGGGCAGACGACCACAAAGTTGTATTTTCAAAAATTCCAAAAAAAGTGTTTGATTCAGTCTGCCATTTTTACAGCGTGTTTATTATGTATAATAAAATATTCTCACAAAAAGGCAGACAGTTTCTCCGGGGGTTACTAATTTAAAAATCTATACAAATAAATAATCACTTTTTAAATGGTCCATATTTCCTATCATAATAATTAATACATCTGTATCACATGATTTGATAAGTACATTGACAGCAGAATCCGATTCCAATTGACAAACATGAAAATAATTATACTTTTTTAAGATTATTTATATAGCTGCTGATAAAATAAAAAGCTGTTCCCCGCGACTTCGCCCGCATGTAATTTAGGGTTTTATTTTTTTTGCGCGGTACCCTAATAATTTTTTTAAATTTAAAAGCAGCCTAAAATACTCGTTATAACATCAATTATCTGCCAGTGAAAGTCCCGTCAAAATCGGTCCAGCCATTTCGGAGATTAGTCGGAACAAACAGACAGACAAAAATTTTAAAAATTGTGTTTTTGTTATAAATATCGTATATAATGTCTTATGCGTTTAGTAAAAAATTGTTATTTTGAAATTAAAAACAGACATTTAAATTTTATTTATTTGTATAGATTTTTAAATTAGTAACCCCCGGAGAAACTGTCTGCCTTTTTGTGAGAATATTTTATTATACATAATAAACACGCTGTAAAAATGGCAGACTGAATCAAACACTTTTTTTGGAATTTTTGAAAATACAACTTTGTGGTCGTCTGCCCCTATGTAAACCCCTTCAGAAGTGTCTGCCATTTTTTTTCTTAATTGTTTATAAACTTAGCTAACGGATAGTCATTATTATTATTTGAATCAAACACTTTTTTTTGGGCAAATTTTTTTTCGACTTAACTGTATGCGCAGTACCAGGTGTACCCAGGTAGGCCAGGCAGACAGTCATATACCTGCTTATTGAGTCGACTGATACCTTTAAACAAAGTTTCATGATGCATCAAACACTTCATGAAAAATGCGTCATGAGCTCTCGGACCATATAGAATAATATGTTTTATCATTTAGTAGATCAAATAGTTCACGTTTATATCG